TCCAAAAAGATGTGTTTCATATTTTCCGTCATACTTTTATAAAAAGAACACCCATATGAACTAAATAAAATATGCTTAAATATTTTATGATTAATTCGAAACTAAATCCACTGATTCTTAATCTTCAGTGAGCTAAAAAAAAAAAGATTTTTACTCATTCAATTTCATTTAAGTTAAAAGGACACAATGAGTCAAAATCGTGCCTTTCTTTTAAGATATTTTTAAAAAAATCTTAGCAAACAGAGAAAGACTCATGAAAAATATAAGTATATAGCGAAGATATGACAATTAACCTGCAAGAATACTAAGGCTTCACTACTTTTAATTTAAGTTCAAACTTGTAAACAACACTCAACTGGAGCATCAAAGATGAGAAATATGTTCTAACAACTTTATAAAAAGATTACTTCAAAATATTTCGTCTACTTACAATTATTCTTGGATACGTGAGACCATCATTACTATGGAAACATTTAACTTTTCTGCGCACGCGTACAATAGGGAGGAACAAATACCAGGGTATTTTGCAATATTTTCTTTTGGGGGATACTGAAATTATTTTTACTTTTATTTTTCTGCATAAAAATAGAAATGTTAGTTTCTGAAACATTTAATTTTCAGAAACCTAATACTTTTAGGAGTTGAACAAAATTTCAAGTGCCATGCAAAAATTCAACATCTGTCAATTTTCCCTTTGTGCGTCAGAGTGCCGCTTTAAAAATTCTATTACACACAGTTTGACCTATTGTTGTTCGTTTATTCAGGAAATGGCACATGAAACATATGATTGGCACATAAAAAAAGTATAAGTATGGACAGCGGAAAGGGCAAAAATTACCATAATGAGAAAACAAACGATTATTTTAATTTCAATGACCATAAAAACTTAACAAATAATATACAATGCATAATCAACAGACGTTTTCGCACAACAAATATACATTAAAGCAAAACCAACGACCACGTACGTAACAAACATGTATGAATGCAAAACCAACAATCATCTTTGCCTTACAAACGTACATAAAATACGACAAGCGAAAAAAACTTAACAAATGTGCACGCGGTAAATCTAGTCTTCCCGACTCCCGGCGGTCCCGTTTTTGTTTTGTTTTTTTTGTTTGTTTTTTTTTTTTGGGGGGGGGGGCAATTTCTTGTTTTGTCGGTGCACAGAAACTCTTCAAACTTCTTATGCATATTTCCTTTTTAAATGAATTCAATAATATGTAAAATCAAATTTATGTATTTATTACTAAAGCTAGAATCCAGAGAAAAAAAATCCATCAAGCTGAAAAAAAGATTTTAAAAACTTGACAAGCAAAAACAAAAAGGAAATTAAATGAAATATCCCAAACTCGAAAACCGATCGCGTATGTGTGTGTGTGTGTGTGGGGGGGGGGGTTGTCAGTTCAACTTCCTTTAGTACCAATTTTTCCCTAATATATATACTACATAACCCCCCCTTTTTTTTATACCTTTTTCTTAAAATTGGAAAATGTTGCTACGTGCCTGTAATAAAATATGTCACTGTAATGTAGATTCTTGTAATATTTAAAGAAATGGAGAAAACCAAATTATGTAACAACAACAAAATAAAAAAATGAGGAAACGGCATTCAGGAGAATGAGATTTTATTTTTCTTTTCATTTTATGTGAATTCTTTTCTTTTCTTTTCTTTTTGAAATTTTAAGGATAAAATTACGAAAAAGAGGAAAAATTCAAGAAGGGTCCGAGGTAGAATCACGTCCATGTTAATTGTAGAGCCTGGGAATATAAACATGATGTGGCCAAGAGTTCTATACGAAAAAAAAATGTGTGGGGAATTTTTGTGCATACAAATTATCTTGCATGCAAATGAGGGTTTTCATTTATTAAAAAAATATACCTCAGTTTGTTGTTTTTAATCGCGATTCTACTAAAACATCGGTATCCTTTTTACAGTGGTTTTCGCATTTATAGCTGAGTACTAGATTTGTCGCTTTTTGACAGGTGATACTGCGGGGGAAAAAAACTGGGACCGTCGGGATCCGGGAGGACTAGATTTACCGCGTGCACGTTTGTTAAGTTTTTTTCGCTTGTCGTGTTTTTATGTACGATTGTACTGCAAAGATGATCGTTGGTTTTGTATTCATACATATTTGTTACGTACGTGGTCGTTGGTTTTGCTTTAATGTATATTTGTTGTGCGAAAACGTCTGTTCATTATGCATTGTATATCATTTGTTAAGTTTTTATGGTCATTGAAATTAAAATAATTGTTTGTTTTCACATATGGTAATTTTTGCCCTTTCCGCTGCCCATATATAAGTAGGCACATGAAATCCATAGAACTCGTAATTTAAAAAAAAAACATTGTTCTTAATTGAAACACTAACATTATATTATAAAAGACATGTACTTAAGAAAAACATTTAAATCAGTGTATCTAAATAAAACTAAGAAAAGCACTATGTATTTTGTGTACTTTGTCCCCTCCATTTACATTAGGATGCCCCGTGAAAGCCATAATGTGCTTATTTCCAATGGGGTCCCCATAGATTGTAACAGTAAACTACTTAGCACTAATGCTTTCATATAGATAAGATTAAATAAAACAAAAATGAATAAATAAGCCAATTCTATTATATGAAGCTAAGGACTTGATGTCGTTGCTTTTCAAAAGTTCATAAAGATTTCTGGAATTTTTTTTCTACATTTTATGGAGTTGCTGTTTTTGTGTAATATACATTGTACGATATATAAGCAGTTGGCATAGAAATAATATTTTTATTTTTGAACCATCCTCTAATAGTAGTTATAAGCCCAATGTACTCAGGAAATTATGTACACGCATTAATTCTTTGTATCTAATAAAAATAACATTTTCGTCCATAAAGGATTCATCCTCTTGATATATCATTTTCGAAAAATATGTTATTTTCAAACCACTTGTATAGATAATTGTTTATTTTTTACCAAACTAGATATTTTTTTATTTAAAAAACAGTAGTTCCATAAAGGCCTTTGCTTCTTGTTCTTCTAACTTTAAGTTAAATGTAGCTGGGCCTGTAATAATTTTTCAAAATCATTATTTTTTAACGTCTTTAATTTTCTTGAGGTTGTATTTTTCTCCACAAAAAAAACTATTTTTCTAATCTAAAGTTGAATGCGATTTTTTTTCTTGCAGAATAACAGTTTTCATTCACATAAATTTCAGAGACATAATAAAAAAATAATCTTGATCTGAAACCGCCATATTTGAATACTTAAGACAACGACCTTTTAAAGCTAAAGGTACATGTATTACTTTCCTTTACCAATGAATAAAAGATGTTTTCCAAATATTTGATATGTGAATCAGTGAGATTTAGGAAAGGAGATAAAAATATGGTTAAATGTTGGCACAAAAGTGTTTACGAAACTGTTATTCGTCCCAGGGGTGAGATTCATGTTTTCACTGTCTTATTGTTTTCTTTATATTTTCTAACTTTGTACGGAGACTACTTGAAAGTGTTTGTTGCAAATTTATATCAAATTCAATAGCTAATAGCGTTACCTAAATTTTCTTTCCACACCCAAGAAATTGAATTTTACATAAAACTTCATTACTTCATTGTTGCTACCTATTCATATAACTTGTGTTATATTAAAATTTATATGAAGCGGGAAATTATTGCAAATTATTAAAAGGTACCTAAACTTGGTTGTAAGATAAACTTACCCGTTTCTAACAGACCTTCAATAATCTAATATTTTCAGCATTATTTCTATACTGTACAAATTCAGTTTGATCTGAATGTATCTATTTTATAAATAAATAATAATAATAATTATAATAATAATAACCATAATCTATCCAGGATTACACAATGAGCATAAAGCTAGGATTTATTGTGGTCCTGCATTAAAACATATTTACACTCACATAAGGATATACCAAATTAACATCTTTATATAAACACAAGCATATGTAACATATCAATATCAATAGGTTTTAATTTTGCTGACATGTTTGATATCAATAGCTAAGCCTTTGTTTCTACACTGATTTTTTTTTTAGGAAAGTTCCGTCTATCGCATTAATTAATACAAAGGTCTCAAGGCGGGTGTGACAGGTCAACAGGTAATGGTTATTTTTCTTTTGCACCTGATTCCACCTCTGGAACTGCCAGGGTCCGTCTTATGCCCTCATTACATTTTTGTATGTATATAAAATTGTTTCAGAATGACAATTTTCGTCATTTTCATTTGTTGAATTTTACTCTTTTGTATAAAGTCAATATAAAAAAGTTAACTTTTGTATTTTGTTATTTCTTTGCTTGGAATCTGGATGATCATATTGTTTGCTCTAAACAAACAGATTGCTTAAATAAAAAAATTGCTAATACCAAACGTTTGCTCAGTCGATTTTTTTTCATTTGGATATTTTTGGTTATATTCAGTCTGGTCGAAATTAATTGATGATGTAAAACAATCTTCCGCATCGAGTGTAACATCTGAATATTTTCAATCTATTTGATTGATTTAATGCTCTTCTGTATTTCAAATTTTGTTTTCTTTATGAAAGAGATATCTTTGGAAAGACATACCAGTGTGAATCGATTGGCAAGTATTCGATGACGGTTTTCAGACACCTCCTGAATCATATTCTCCAAAGATCCTATCTTCCTCGATAGTATTTCCTTACTAATCTTTTTAATAAGTTTTTCAAGTACGTCCCCATACATAGCCTGAAGATGTCTGCGTATTGTGCTTTTGATTGTTAACAAAGAGTTTTTATATTCCTCATCTATGACTTTTTGTTTAAGACCAAGAATGGCAGAAATCGGATGAAAACCAAAACTGAAAAAAGCAAGGACTAGTTGAAGAGCCATTATTGACTCTACTTCAGCACTCGGATCAAATGCATCTTCTGAATGGTCTGTCCAATCATTTTCCATTTCCGAAATCTCTAAAGAAACTTCACTATAAATATTAAATGCCCTCTTCCTTAACTTTAAAAACATTTCTTGGATTCGTTCTTAATGCAATACTCCTTGGACATACATCTCTATTCTCTTTCTGATCTCTTTACTGAAAAGGATTGGGATGTATCTAATTTCAGTTAAGCTCTTTTGTTCTGGTGGATTTAATATTGTTTCTTTTCCGACATCAGTAGACATGTAATTAAGCACTCTATGAGCTTCATTTTTAATAATCTTTTGAATATCGTCCAGTAATTTCCTTTCCCCCTGAAAAGAAATGACAATTTGTGATATAACAATGAACCTGATTGGCCAAATAAGTTCAAAATATAAATGGATATTTTACAGACAGCGAAAACATATGATTTCTAAACTACCGTCATACCAATTTCTAAGCTTAAATAAAACCTTTTATACAGGAAGGATTGATTGATTGATTGATTGTATATTGTTTAACGTCCCTCTCGAGAATTTTTCACTCATATGGAGACGTCACCGTATGCCGGTGAAGGGCTTCAAATTTAGACCTATACTCGGCACTCAGGGCCGTTGAGCAGTGAGGGTTCTTTATCGTGCCAGCGCCTACCGTGACACGGGACCTACGTTTTTAAGGTCATATCCGAAAGACCCGTGACTTTCACTTCTGATGCCGAGCGCTTGGCGAAGGAACAGTCACTACCTATTATACAGGAAGGAAAAAGACACGCATAATTGATAGCATAATAGCGAAAAGTATTTAACTATGTGGCCGAAAATTATGAAAATTGGTCAGTTGTGTATTTTGGTTACTGTGCACTAAAATCCCTGGTCAAAATTACTCAACCATAAAATGTATGGTGTCACGTAGGGGAAGTGATAAAAAGCCAAATACACGTGCATGTTAATGATGACATTTTTGTGACCACATTTTGTAGTGCCAAGAGATGCATTAGAGTTATAGACATCGTTTTCTGATATTTGCAGTCAGTATAAATTTCTTGCAATCATGGTTTGGCTGACGGAAGTTACATTGGGTCTAGTAATTGAGTTGCATAAGTGAATAAAAAGGCAACAACATGTTGCTGTGCAGTTTGTTTTTAACTTTTCAACCAAAAAAAAATTTTTTTGGTTGTCAGAGAGTAACTTTAAAGGTCTCAAACCAACCATGAGGGTGACGTTGGCGCGTAACAACGTCACACCAAGATAGGGCTTTTCATCATGCTACCTCGGTTATTGTCAAGTCATTATCACTGAAACCGATATTTTTACGGCAGGCAATCCTACTCATATTTTCACCCTAATACTGACAGAAACTCTCTGCTCTAATTCGGTACGCAAGCTTGGCAACTTTACGTCGATTTTTCTCTCACACGCGCACGTACGCGACGTATTCGTATTGCTTTTAGCATGTTCACGCTGTGAAAATGTAGCCAGTGTTTGTCGATACTTCCTAACAAACATTCACATGCACCAAATCAGCTAGATTCTGTAAATTCTATCCTGAATCGAAAATTCGTGGGATTCATTGGGCGGGGAGATTTGTTAGCTTTGGAATAATACAGTTACTCTCAATCATTAAGATTACGTCAGAAGGCTTGTCTGATAATCCTTGACAAAGATAGATGCTCTGGTGAACTCAATGGACAAGAAAATCAAGGCTGTTTCTGATGCGCAAGGGAGAATTTTTATTTTTATTTTGGGGGTTATCGACATATCAATTTCAATAACTCAGAATTATTAGTCAAATTCACAGAAGATTTCGGTTACTTGTTGTTTAAAGTTGAATTAAAATGTGTGATGACAATACTTGAAAACATATTGGAAATAAAAGTTTTGATTTATTCAAAAGTTTATTATGCGTTTCTTTTCCCTTTCAGTATATATTTTAAAAATCGTAAATAAATAGATTATGAAAAATTAAACAAATTTTAACGACAAATGACAAAATATATTAAATTATAATGCCTGCAATACTTCTTATAAGCTTTGTGGAAAGGAAAATAATTTTATTTCAAGTCAGCTCTCCAAGGGTTGACTTCAATATATATAGATAGGGATCTGACCTATCGGACATGGCTTCTTTTTTCTATAAAAAGAGTTCTTTTAATTCCGTTCAGATTAATGACATTAGGCTGCATACATGCAATATTTCGTTTTTCTTCAGTCTTTATTCCACTGAGTTGATTCAAGAGGAACACTTTCAATGATATTCTGAGTTTGTTATCTCCAAATATTTACATTACATAATTATGCTATTTTTACATATAAAGTGAATGGAAATCTTTTGCATTTAAAACACCATAACACAGACAGGTTGCCAAAAGGTTAAAACATGCGTGTTAGATTGACGTCATAATCGTTGAACGCCGATGAAGTGCAACTCCACAAGCCAAAATAAAAAAAAAATAACCAAGCTCAAATTGACCAGAAGCTGTTACGCTGGCTGGTCCATTAACTGTAGCTGCGAAAAAAACATTGGTTTTTGAATATAAATCAAGATTAGCAGCAAAGGTGTATCATAACATTTAAAAAAATATGAATATAAGCAATGAATCATTTTTTAAAAGAGTCTCATAACTGGAACGGTGTGTGCAAACAAATTTTAATTTCATAACGCGCTAATGCGCATTACTCAGTTTGTTTGCACACACCGTTGCAATTATTAGACTATCTTTCAAAAAATAATGATTCATTGCTCATGTTGCTTAAATGTAACAAACATTCTGAGAGTATTGCATAAGCAATACGTGTCCCCTACCGGGTTCCCCTTTTTTCTTCAGGATGTCATTTTATAATATGCAAAAGTTATGTCTAAGGCAAAACTGATTGACTTTTAGGTTGTGAATGCCTTTAAGCTAATAAAATAATCCACTTAAAGACGAAAAATCATCTCATTCAACATATTTTTTCTCGCTTCATATTTACCATTTAGCGCATCACGAACAAGATATTATTAAACAATTATGAAAAAATCAAAATGCCAAAATTCTGTTAAAAATCAATGAAGCGAAAAGAAATTCGAACTTGATCTTTAACTCATCAAGATACATTCACATACCAAAATTCAACTCAATATCTTTATATAAAAAAATGCGGAAAATCAAGTAGGACATACTGACAGACAGACAGACAGCTAGACGTACAGACGGACAGACACAGAGGAAACCTATAGTCCCCTCTAGTTTTACCGGTAAGGGACTAATAATTGGTAATTTTTCTTTAATACTCATGGTACATAATGGTAATGTCTACTGTCTGTTGATTTCTATTCCTTATGTCTAGACTATGTATTGTACAATAGTGCCATGGATTCAATAAATCATTCCATTAATGTGTGCACACTAGAGACCTAAATGAAGTGAATTCAATCACTGATATATGTACCCCTGTTGTTTCAAACCTTTAGATCTTTAGAACAATGACTCAAAACAAAGGTACGTACATGTATATGTAATTCTAAATAATATAAGCTCAAATAACTCAAGCAGGAATGTATGCAATTGAAATTCATCGTAGCTCAATGCTACCCAGAAAACCTGTATCGAGTAACGAGCTACGTGTAGGAAAAAGCAAATAAAGATTTTAAAATTGTTTATGTTACTTTTTCAGGGAAATTGTTCTCTCCTTAATCTTTTTTTGTAATAGTGAATAAATCCTTACGTAGTAAAAGCAGTTAAGTTTATAGTTAGAATACTATGTTATTTGATTGATTTAATTGATTTCTTATTGCTTAAGGTCCCTCTCGAGATTTTTTCACTCATATGGAGACGTTACCACTTGCCGATGGAGTGCTGCAAAGATTGTTATATACTCAGAACTCGGGGCCAATGAGCAGGGGTATCTTTTGTGCCAATACCTACTACAATTGGACGTTGGTTTTATACAGTCTCATCCGAAGGACCGGTATAAACGTTCAACAGTGGGCTTCGAACACGCGAAATAAGGATAACTCCTTACATCGCGACTCTAGAGTAGATGGTCAAAGAACTGTGTCATGCTGGCGACCTATGTTATTTGAAAATATTTTTATGCATTCCGATCGATAGATCCGGGACATATATTGTTTATGTCCTGTCTGTCCGTTTGTTTGCTTGTTTTTAACCTCCAAATTTAACCTTCGCCATAACTTTTGGACCATGAAACATAGCGACTTTATATTTGGTATCCATACCCAACTAATAAAGTTCTTTCAAATGACAGCAAGGTCATTGTCACATTAAAATTTCCTTATCGAACACGCAAGTAATTTGTATTCACCTGTGGGGAGCCTCCATTTTTCACTGGGTTCATTTAACCCCGTTTTATACCTCAAATCACTGGACCTTTAAAATATTGATGAGCCCGTGCTTCAGTTTGGACACGGCAGTCCAGGTAGAAGGACGTTTTCAAAACTTCTCAAGACTTACATATTTGATTTGTATTATACACGTGGCAGACCACTGAGGGTATTTCAACCCAACCCTTATTTAGAATTTATGGTATGGTCCTGCTTCTCTGAGGTAAGCCTTATTATACCCCCCGCTTGAAAAGCGGGAGGGTATATAGTGATCGGGATTTCCGTCCGTCCGTCCGTCCGTCTGTCTGTCCGTCCGTCCGTCCGTCCGTCTGTTACGCTTTTTCTCTTATCCGCAACTCCTCTTATACTACTGAGTGAAATTTAATGAAACTTTCACAGAATCTTTATTACATATTGCCATTGTGCACCTCCTATTTTACTTTTTTATTCGACGCGTATTTTAGGTTTCCCAGAGCAAAACATGGACATTGTCATTTTTTGTTTACCCATGACGTCACATAATAGAAGCTTCTGGATAACATTTCATAGGACGAGTTATTCCTCTTTAAACATACCGTAAAACAATATAAAGCAACACATCGACATTATGGGAGGCGGGGGGTATCATTTAGTGAGCTCATTGCTCACAGTACCTCTAGTTTGCGGTTGTTTTTATTATTTCATGAGTGGTAAATATCTTAAAACACCCAGATACGGAATTTCTAAAATATGCAACTTTAAGCTTTTCTTTTACATATTTTTAAGCTGTGTTATTTATAGTTACATTTGTATTCGAAACTGCTTGAGTCTTAAATGTACGGTGGCTTGTTTGTATCTTTATTTGTCGGTTCTACGTTCTGTAATAACTGTTGTGAAACTATAGCAATTATTGCATTGTATATATTGCACTGTAACGTTTCACAGCGTAAATTGTATGTCTATAGTATTCTGTGTATGATATTTAACAGGTCTCATTGATCATTCCTATATAGTAGTGTAGAGATGGCGGCCC